AATACTTCTCTCTCTCTCTCTCTCTCTCTCTCTCTCTCTCTCTTCTTTCGGACACGCAAACATTGTTCATGTGTGTCAAGAACATTGATTGATGGCATAAATTAATCTCGCATTGATCATGTCTGCTAGAGGAGAGAAGAGATCCTTTTTTTCTCTTATAATTTCTTATCCAACCCGAAGCGCTTGGCGAAGAACCAATCGCGAAGCCAAAGCGGCGACCAGGCGAGCGCCGCGAACAGGCCCGTCATGTGGCCGAACACGATCGCCCTCGGCGGCCGGGGGCTCAGCACACGCCGGGCCACGTGGCGCGCCAGAACGCCCGGCTCCGTCGCCCGCCCCACCTGCGACGCCCCCGCCCTCCCCGCAATCGCATCCTCGAACCCCTCGTAGAGCCGCCAGCTCCGCGCAGCCAGTCGCTCCGCGTTCGCCCGGCCCAGCCCCGACCGCACCGCCCCCGGCACCACCTTGATGACGTGTACCCCGAACGGGCGAAGCTCCACCCGGAGCGCGTCCGACATGGCGTCAACCGCCGCCTTCGTGGCGCAGTAGGAGCCGGCCCAAGGCGTGGCGACCGCGCCCACCACGCTGCCCACGTTGACGATCCGGCCGGCGCGCCGCGCGGCCATGCGCGGGGCCACCTCCTGCACCAGTCTCACCTGGCCCAGCGCGTTCACCTCCCACGCACGCCGAATCTCGTCCAGGTTGAGCTCCGCCAGCGGCCCGGTGCTGCCGACGCCGGCGTTGTTGACGAGGACGTCGATGCGGCCTCGGGAGGCCAGGACCTCGGACACCGCGGCCGCGACGCTCTCGTCGGAGGAGACGTCGAGCTCGAGCGGCTCAACGTTCTCGGACGCGAGGTCGGCGAGGTCATGCAGGCGGTCGGGGAGGTCGGAGGCGAAGACATAGCAGCCGTGGGAGGCGAAGGCCTTGCAGTACTCGTAGCCGATGCCGCCCTTGCCGCACCCGGTGATCAGCACTACTCGTTTGGTACCATCCATGATAAAAAAAACAGCTCCTTAATTAGCACATATACTTCATTCCACTCGACAGTTGATACTCTGAGTGTTCGATCTATATAAACGGAGATAGTTGCAGTGGCAGATCCGCCAGGTTACAGGTTTAGTTCCTAAACCATGGTAAGCTGCTGAGAATGTGCGTGGGATATGCTCGGCATTTCTTGTTGCGATGTTGTTGTTGTTAATTGGCGTGTAATCGTCCTCCATCAGAGTGCTTTGAATCAGTCTCTGTGTTAGAGTTTGGCATTTGATGCTCTGTTTTGTCTTTATCAACATTGCAGTAACTTTAATACGTCTACTTTCTTGGATCATAAATTGCCTTCTTACATAGATTTATATGTTCATTAATAACAGAGAAATTGTCTATTTTCTGTGCTTCGAGATCTTTAGAGTTTGGATGCAGAAAACAAACACGAAACTGCTTCTGTTCAACATAGATCCTCTCTTATGAGGGCCACAGTCTTCATAAGAGAATTCTACTAACCCGTGATTAGCAAACACAAAGCTCCCAATGCAGAAGGTTTCTTCAGAGCGTCCTCCCTCCATATCCTCTCTTCTTCCCCAAACTGAGCTACCCGAGTTCTTTCAATCAAGCAACATGCCTCTCGACTTCAACGAGAGCTACAGGGCAACGAGGTGGACGTGAAGGTGGGTGTTCTCACCGTCACCCACAAGAGACCAACTTTTACGCACGTTTCAAGCGTTGCCGAAAGAGTTGAGTTCCAAGTGGAGAAGTGCGCCGCCACTGCAATAAAGCAGCGCATCTGAAGCTGGCACGACCATCAACATCATCATGTCATGATCGATCGATCGTTCGCGAATCTCAAGGCAAGAAACCTGAGATCTCATCGGCCACCACGTTCTATCGGCGGTGGGATATGTTTTCTGGCGTCATCATGATTTAGAGAAACGGAGGGATGGATTTCATTAGACTTATGACAATTTAGAGAAATGGACGGATGGATTCACTTTAATTTATATAAATGAGGCCTTTAAGCGTCGGTTAATTCCACCGGGTGATTCCGACACCCAACGCACTCGCTAATTTCCAGCCAGTAAAAGAAACCGGAAACCGGCAGCTGTCTTGGTAATAAGTTCTCACGCCCAAGCTTGTTCGAAATAGTCGCCGGCGAGGGGAAGCGGCGCCGCCAAGCGGCGGAGGTGGCGGAGGGCGAGCACGCGGCGGAGGTCGGCGAGCCGCCGGCCGAGAGCGGAGACTTCGGCGAGAAGGCGGTTGTTGTCCCGGTGGACGAGGAGGCAGCGGCTGGCGATGCCGCCGAGCCGATCCGAGAGGTCACGGTTCTCGGACCGGAGCACGCTCGCCCGCTCGCGAAGCTCCTCGAGGCGGCGCTGCTTCCGCAGGCGGCAGCGGCGGGCGGACTCGCGGTTGGAGATCGTGCGGCGGAGCCGCCGCAGCTCCTCGGGGGAGACGGCCTTCCCGAAGCCGTCGGGCGAGGGGGCGGGGCCCACGACGGACATCATCGTGGTCTCGGCAAGAGGAAGGGCAGGGAAGAGGAGGAAGTGGGAAAAGGGAAGGAAGGCACCGGAGTTGGGAGGTACTTCAAGGCGGTGGAAAGGTCGTGGCATCTGCGTGGTGGGCCGACGTCGGGTAGTGGGCCCCTGGCCCTCGCACGGTGGATCTTCCGTCTTCATGCGCCAATAGTTGTGCGTCCATGAACGAAGGGTTCGGATGCGACCGACTTCCGTCGTAAACTTACGGCTACGCAGGGACGTCATCTTCTTCCGACAACCCCTCGTTTTCATGATGAGCACCGGTACCTTATGTTCTACATAAAAGACAGCCAGACCATCTCACATTTTCTTTTCTTTTCTTTCGAGCATATGATACACAATAGTTAACGCAAGAATGTGTGATCTAAACAAAATGGAGGACAAATCAACTTTTTTTTTTTGATTTATTGGTCAAAAGATGGGAGAAAAAAGAAGATCAAGTAGCGTTTTGTCAAATTTAGATTCCCTACCGGAGAATGGACAGCTCGAAAAGCATGAGATATGTGATTCAAGATGGAGAGAGAGGCACTCGACAACGATTACCACACCCCATCGCAGCTAACATGACTGACCGATCAGCATAGAGCAGCACAGTATAGTCTATCTATACAATAAGTCTAATTATCTATGATTCAATCTTTCATCTACCGATTAAGAAGGCCTCTACATATTAGATTTTGACTTTAAACGTAAAACCCGCAGCAAATCGAGGCGATCGAGTATTCCCTTTGTCAATGATTTCTACCTATAGAACAGGCCTTCTTTGTCTTTATCGTCAAAGATTCAAGCTCCCTTAATCAAGGATATGGATTAAAGCCAATTAAAGAATACTGGAAAACCTTAGGCTAGATTTTTTTTTTGGCAAAAATCTATGTAGTTCTTTGATATCTGTGCCGAGAGATTGACAAAAACCTACTCGATCATCTTTTGCTCTGAATGGTAGATCTTCTAATTCTAATTAAATATTATGGATTATAAAGCTAAATGTCTGTAGATTATCCTCCTGATTTGGCTCAGTATCTGATGACCAAATAGGAGGTTTTGAATTAAGATTCGAATGCATCCACCTCCAAAATTTGTTCTCGAGGAAACAAATACATGCAATCTTTAGTGTATTTCTATATTCCTTCTTTGATTAAGGAATCTTTGGTGTATTACTATTTCCCTTATTGCACTAAGGGATAGAAATCTCACCGTTCATATGATCATACACGAATCTCAAGGGAAGAAGAAGAAGAAGGAACACCTTATTTAGGTCCCCCGTCACGGCACCATCTCCCATCGCAAGTCGCACGGTCTGGTCTCCTCCCATCTTTGTCACGCATCATGTCTCACGGAGTCACCGTCGTGATCGTCGCCCTCCTTCTCTTCCTGTCTTTGGCCCATGCAGGCAGGCCTGAGCCAGAGGATCTTGAGAAGGCCAACGTCCAGGTAAGCCCTGAGTGGAGTTCATATGTTCTTGTGCTGTTTCTGATCTGATGTGTTGTGTCGATGTCAGGGTGTCGAGGGAGAGGAATCTGACAAGGTGGTGCAAGGATGCGAAGGGAAGGAGGACTGCTTGATGAGAAGTACTCTCAATGCTCACACCGACTACATCTACACGCAGGGGGGAGAGACGTCCGAGAAGGTGGAAGGAGGATGTGCGGGTCTTGGGAAGGAGAAATGCTTGGAGAAAACTACTCTCACCGCTCACACTGACTACATCTACACACAGCGACACCACTAGAGGAGGTGGTGTGTTCTCCTGGTTTGGGGTGTTTGGCTTGGGGGTTTGTTGATGTCGTGATAGTGCTTATCCTCGCGTATTCCCACCTTTGGTTCATGAATAATAATAATACCTCCATTGATGTCTTATCTTAAGCTACCGTCTGTGTTTGGTTCTCACCAGCCTTCTTTCTTCTCAGAAAGAACTGGGCTGCTCGAACGACATGCATGCAGGTAATCTTCACCAAGCTATACAGTGTTAATCTTGTGTATTCAAGTGCTGACATGTTCCAAAATAATGGTTAACATAATAAGAAATTAAAGAGGCTGATGTGGTTGAGAAAATAGTGTATTCAACCTCGTAATAGAAGCACGCCTGAGAACATTACTTTGCTTCTACATGGGTATCTTATGCTACTCTGGGTTTACATCAAGTGGAGGAAAACAGCACATCTTGCATTAGATGCGTGGGGATTAGACGTCAGCCTCCCACGAGAAAGAAGAAGAAAGATGCCCTACCACCTAAGATATATAGACCAAGCCTGTGAATCGTGATGGACCAACGGATGGGCATAGCCCAACGCTACAGTCAGAGATGTGTAGACTAAGCCTCCTGTGGTCTGTAAGACAAAACTACATACAGTGAAATGTTGGGACACTCGGTGTAAGCAGCACACTGTAATATTTTACGAAGAATTGATTTGATGGAGCTTATCTGGAACGCAGCAACAGTAGCACCGATCTCCGTCTGCCTATTTAACATTATAGCTTCATCTTTTCAGGTCATCTTACTGTATCATCCAAGGGTGTTTGACATAAATCTTTTCTGAAGAAAACAGATTCTCAATCTGAACAGGGATGGTCGGAAGACAGACCATGAAGAACAGGCAGAAATGTCAAAAGTCCTTGACTTTCGAGAGACTTCTCATGAAAGAATTCATTGACTTTACGTGTGTGGTCAAATAACACAGGAGCGGCATACTGAGGTGCATGGTTTAGTGGCAAACCAGTCTCCACATCATGTTCATCGATCTCCAACAGCGATAGGTTTGCCATTTGGAGCTCCACTGCCTTTCAGTTCAGTGGGCAAATGCCACACCAGTGCAGGCTGTAGTTTCTGACTAGCCATCGCTTTTACGTCAGTAAAGTCATCAGCCTTCTCTCTTCCCGTGTGATGGTTGGCGAGTTGGTGTCTTATCCCACAAAGGCAACGCCGCATTAAGATAAAAGCGGCCGTGCACTAATCGACCTTTCCACCTCCAAACCCGCGTTGAGCACCACAGTCTATATTGCGTTGTCTGCCCGTCACGCCTCCAGCTGTCTTCCTTTACTCTTCTCTATCCTTCCACTACATCCCTGCTTGCTTTACAAGACTGCGGACTCCATTCTCCTCCCGGAATTCCAAGCTGAAGCAGTAGAAGAACCAACACAGAGAGCAGAGAGAAGAGAGAATGGAGAAAACTAGCCTTCTCCTCGTCCTCGTCCTCGTCCTTGCCACCGCGGACGACCTGGAAGCGGAGCTCCCCAAGGGCAAGGGCCACGGCGAAGACGACGATGGAGCCGGCATCCCCTGGTTCGGTGCCGACCCGGGCAGGTTCTTCGGCCACGGCAGCCGGTTCCACGTCCCGGCCGGGATCGGTGGCGGGTGGGGCGGCGGCTTCGGCGGCCCTTCCGGCGGGTACGCGCGCGGTGGCGTGGTTCGGCCCTCCGTCGTCTGCTCCGAGAAGGGGCCCTGCCACAAGAAGCGGGTGACCTGCCCAGACAGTTGCTTCACCTCCTTCAGCCGCTCCGGCAAGGGATACGGCGGTGGAGGCGGCGGCGGCAGGTGCACCATCGACTGCAAGAAGCGGTGCATCGCCTACTGTTGACCGCGGAGCCTCAGCCACCACGTGTCGCGGGCTCCCCTCTAGTAATATGGTAATGCCGTGTAACTCTAATGACAGTTATATATATATATATATATATATATATATATATATGAATAAAAGAGGGACTTATCTTACTTAATAATTTGGTGCGGCATGGCTATGGTCGTACAATGTCCCTTCATTTCGATTTTAAGATTCGTGCACACAATTTGATAGAAAGCTTCGAAATCCGTAGGTAGACGTATGTATATAGTGATTAACGACGGATTCCAACCCTTAATTGTATATATATATGTGTTATAAATTACGTCTCCTCTAATGAACGATGGTTGAATTCTACTAAATCTATGAAAAATAATGTCTATGTTTTGTAAAGTTCAACCCAGCTGGATAATACTCGTGTTTACTTCTTCAAGTCTAAGTCACAAATTGGAACAGTCTACCCACAATTTAGTAAGTATAACTATTTTGTTAAGACTAAACCATTTGATGATTCGCTACCAAAGTCAAAAGTGTCAGGTAGTATACATAATATACAATCCTACTTAATGTATGCCTGCAACAGCTCAGCGAAGGAAGAAGTCAACGCTAATATCTCAATTGGCCACCGTTAGTCCTACGGCCCTTCGATCAAAGATCATAGTAGATCTCTTCCCGTTGTTAGATCCTTGGCCTGTTCAAGTCAGAGCTTTTATCCCAACTCCCGAGGTCAGTTGCTGTTATCCAAATCCTCTCTCTCTCTCTCTCTCTCTCTCTGACTATATTGCCCACTCTACTTTCCCTCTTCTTCCGTCCATGCTTCTTGGAGTCTGCCGACTGCAATAATTCTGTATTGAATCTTCATGAGCAAAAGGAGCGGCACGTCCAACCGGCTCGGCCGGTGCATGAAGGCGCCGCTCCGTGCGCTGTGCCACGCACGCGACTTCTACGTGCGCAGCATGAACAGCTGCGCCGGCCGCATGGAGTACGGGCTGCAGATGGGGGATCTGCCTAGAAGCTACAGCCTTCATCAATCGACGAGAAGCAGCGCCAGCGACGAGGACCTGAGGCAGCTCATACGTGCCGCGTCGCTGAGACGCGCCCTCTCTCAGTCTACGGTCCATGGCACGCCACCGCCACCGTCGGCGGTGCCGCGGAGCCAAAGCGTGGCGATCGGGAGGATCGACGAAGACAAGCCCTGCGAATTCGGGGACGCGAAGGTGGGGGCGGACTTCTTGTTGCCGAGGAGCCGGAGTTATGCTCCCGGAAGAGAGAGGAACGCGAGGTTGTTTGTCTGATGGATAACGTCGCCAAGTGTCTGTGGAAATGACTCTCCTTCCATTTCGTGTTGATAAGCCTCTTGGTTTCGTGTGTTGTGCTCGAAGTTATCCGATGGTAACAAAACTAGCTTGTAACTCGACAATTTGTACCTTTAGATTGTAATGGTATCGAACAGTTTCATCTTTTGCCTTTGTCATCATGAGATGCGGGGACTGACTGTTCTTCCTCCCATCAATTATAAACATTGATGACAAGGGAATTATTGTGGTCCCTTCATGCATGATATTAATGTCATGATCGGTAACAAAGGCGACACGTGGTTTTCGATGACACATCTCCTGACATGACTTTTTTCCCTGATATATATTTATAAACATTTATAAATATTTAGAAATATATATATATATATATATATATATATGTATATATATATTTCTTATCCAATAAATGTATGTGGATCCGACCCGATAATGTCCGCCTCCAAAACCAACCGTAACAGCAACCGCCAAATACAAACTCCCGTCGGTAATCACACACCTGGATTCGGATCATCTACAGAAGCAGTTTTATCCAAGTCCTTCTAAGTCCCGTACGAGAGCCATTATCTCCCGTTACCGCTTGGGTCCCACCATCAAGTCGAACTCCCACGGTTCGCTACCGAGGGCATTTTAGACCAGTAGTTGGATGGGATCCTCACGCAAAATGAAACGAGTATATGCTGATGTTGTCTCTCCGCTCCACTGCGCGGAGCGGCGACGAGCAAATCCCGAGGAGGATGAGAAGCGGCGGCGGAAAAGCCTCGCGTCCAGCGTGGAAGGCCGTCCCGGCGACGGACGATGAGCCGGAGGCGGCGGTCGCTGCCGGGGGTTTTCGGGGCAGCGGGGCGGGGGCGAGGAAGAAGTGGGCGGGGCCGCGGGCATGGCTGGCGGTGGACGCGGCGGGGGTAGCCCGGGTGGTGGAGGCCGGGAAGCACGACATCATGCGCCGGACGGGGCTCCCCGGCCGCGATCTCCGCATCCTCGATCCCCAGCTCTCCTGCCCCTCCACCGTGCTCGGCCGGGAGCGGGCCATCGTCGTCAACCTCGAGCACATCAAGGCCATCATCACCGCCCACGAGGTCCTCCTCCTCAACTACCACGACCCCTCCGCCGCTCCCTTCGTCCACGAGCTCCAGCATCGCCTCAGCCGCCGGCATCGTGGCCGGGACCAGGTCATCTTCTTAGGTTTCTTGGTTCGATGAAGATTCCCATGTGTCTCCCCTGATATCATTCTTTAGGTTGTTCAGGATCTGCTTCCCTCTTTTGTCCATGTGTTTCTTCTTGGTTTCTTTCTTCTGTATGCTCAGTTCTTGTGTCCTAAAAACGGTCCTTGGCTATTGCGTTCTCTTGATCGGGTTTGCTACCGATCACTCCAGATCTCGCTGAAGAGTTTTCACCACTAGTAATCATCCGTAGCTCAGTGCTCTGCACTTCCATGTTGTCTTTCTCTTTTCAAGTAAATCATCATTAAATCTCCAACTGTCTTCGTAGGATGGTGGGATGGGCAGCAGTGCAGATTTGACTAAGGTGTATGATTTGGAGGACCCAAAGACGAGGACCGACGGGCCATATCATGTATCGCAAGATCTCAGTGGTTCTGGAGGCCTACTGGCAGAACATGACGAGGATGAGAAAGGAAAGGAGGAGCCAGTTTCGAGTCATGGGCCGAGGGATCTACCTTTCGAGTTCATTGCGCTTGAAGCTTGTCTGGAGGCCGCGTGCAGCTGCCTAGAGACTGAGGTCAAAAGCATCACTTGGAAACCTTTTCATTCTCCTCATGTAATTTATGCTTTATATAATTTTCTATAGGTTCTATTGATTAGTGTTATCAGGCACTACATTGTCTTTAAAACCACTGGTGGGTCTTTCTGTCTGAGGATATTTCCGAGTGTCTTTTGGGGTTAAATGGCTATTAATCAGGGTGGAATGACTGAGACAAGTGTTCTTGATTAGGGATCTAAAGCCAAATGCCAACAGGCCACTCGTATAGTTTGGGGTGAGTACATGTTTTGGATGAGTGTAAGTAGTTGGCTTTTGCCGCTGTTCTCAGAAAAAAATAAGCAACCTCTTTTGTAATAGATGGAATATTATTGCATTCCTATAAAATGTAGATTTCATTTGAATTGTAGTTCAAACCTTGGCATCCCTTTTTTTGCTAGCTTTCAAACATTGTACTACATGTTGCTTATCCCTTTTCTGCATCATCCAATTTTTGGGTTTTATTCCCCTATCATTTACTTTGGATACTCTGGATGTTTGATTTATTTTCAGGCAGCAACACTGGAGAAAGAAGCACATCCAGCCTTGGATAAGCTGACATCAAAGATAAGCACACTTAATTTGGAACATGTTCGTCAGATCAAAAGCCGATTAGTTGCCTTAAGTGGGCGTGTGCAGAAGGTTTGTTTCCTTTTATATGATTTAACAAATCAAATATGATCTCCGACTCAAGTGTAGTTATAATGTTAGTTCATACAGTGAATATGAAGTATATGATGTCTACTTGTAGCTTTGCTTTGTGTGGGACTTCAAATGGTTTAAAATTTAGGTGTGGACCAGTCTACTCAGGCTGACTTTGAAGATGAAGGAAGAAAGTGTTCTCATATTTCACAGATGTAAAAGCTGGTATCAGTATTTTTATAGTTAACCAAGCAAAATGTGATGTAGAGGAGGAGGTTCTGGAACAGAAATTATACAATGGTGAACAAATGAGATATTTGCCACAAGGATCGATAAGGAAGGGAGATAAAAGTGAGTCAATACAATGAAATATATGTAGAAAAATTGTTCAAACTACATAGATATAGGTCAGTCTCTGCTATGAGAAAAAAAAGTCTCATGAACATTTGATCTTGCACCAGAGATCTCCATTCAGCGTAGTGAAATTGGTATATTCTGTAATGGATAAACATAATTCATGATGGTCAGTTAACCAACAGGGGAGATTCCTGCTTAGGATGGAGACCAGAGAGTGCCCATCTGGGGTTAGAAGAAGTTAAAATCAAGATGACTGACCGATAAAGATCAGATATATGGTTTATCTATTTTCTTTCTTAGACTTTGATTAGTGGTTGGATTATCTTGGTGCCCACCACAAAGATTTTCATACTATATCCATTCAGTAAGTTCTGTTATTTGGAAAACAGCAAATAAGGTGATAGAATTATTCTGTTGAGGTAGTCCTGCATATTATTTTACAAGTGGCAAAAGCTCATTATAAACTTCCCCATCTTATGGCTGTCAATGTCAATGTACAAGTGATGAGTTTCATTCCGGTGGCACTGTTCCTGCTTTGTGACCTTCAATCAACAATAATTTCCACATTTGGAACTTGTTAGCAGCTTCGTTGTTAAAGAATATATAACTTGCTTAACTACTTTTCAATGATGTCTTCATCAACAATGTAAATATGACAATGATGAGCATAACGAGATTGATTAAACTAGCAATATGTTTTTCTTATATCTCGGGCTTTGTGGAACAATTACTCATTGGCTCAGCGCGACATGATAGGTAAGGGATGAACTTGAACAACTATTGGATGATGATGATGATATGGCTGAGATGTATCTGACACAAAAGTTGGTGCAGCAGGATCCCTCTGATGGATCATCTAATTCTTCTTTATACAATCATGGCAACATCATGGACGATTACAGGTTCTAACTCTTTGTGTCATGAACATGCTTGCTATGTTTTCTCATCCCTTGTCTCTTTGAGCAACTTCTTGAAATTCAATCTTTTGTAGGGCATGTGCTGAAATTATATCCGACAATGACATTGAAAATAATCGAGATGGTGATTCTCAAAATATTAATCTTCATTATCGTGCTTCTGAACCCAATATTATCAATGTCGATAGCCACGGAACTCGTACCTACAGTACAAGAAGTAGCAGCAAACATCTTGATGTAGAAGAGCTTGAAATGCTTTTGGAGGCTTACTTCATTCAGATCGATAGCACATTAAACAAACTATCAACGGTAAGTGCACAAGTAACTTGGTGAAATCATTATGAAGTATACCATAAATATGAGGAGAGCAGGGGAATGTGTTATAAATTTGTTCTCTGGTGGCCATGTCAAAATACAGTGCAAATCAACCTAGCTGGTCAATCATCATCTGTCCCATATTGGGCCGGATATGGGATTTAATAATTTGCCCTCTGAGTGTGATGGTGCTTCTTGTTCACTTCAGTGTAACTCCATCAGATCATGGTAGTGCTTGAAATTGCTGTAGCTCTTGGCTTTCTTAACTGGTTTCTTCATCCGGATACAAAATTAATTTTCCTGAATACAAGGGAAAAGAAAAAGAACGTCATCTTGATGGAGAATTGTACAATGTTTATGGTCTGTTGGGCCATGTATCTCTGCCTAAGTGGCAGATCAGAATAGAATGCATAAATTGCTAGCTTAGAAAGAACGCAAGCTCTAGGCTCAAGAATTTTACTTAAAACAAGATTTGTAATTCTTGTACATGGTTAATTGCGTAAGTCGTAGTCCATAGCTGTGTGATTTATGTCTTCATGTGTGGCTTATAGGAGAATATTGTAGGTTAATTTTGAAGTCAAAGAAGCTATGGCATGTAACATGTAGTGATCGAGGGATTGCTCCTGTCTATACGTCCCTTGAGCACCCTGCACCATCGTTCTAGCTGTATGAGATCCCTCTTTAAGCATCGAGAAGAAGCTCTTCCTACATTCCTCTTCATCTTAGCCTTTGGGTTCTTTTGCTAGTTTTGCTTGTTGTCATTTTGGCATCAGTGTTTTGCAACCAGCAAAGTGATTGATTGTATGTCGGACATGCATATTTTTTCTTGATATTTGATAGCCAGCATCAGCTGTAAGTTTTCTCCTTGGAAATGAAACAAATGCTGGATAATCATCAAACAGCATTGTGTTTAAAGGAACGTTCTCTGTTTTCTTTGTCAATATGCTGTTGCTTACACAGTTGTCAGATTCATGCATGCTTTGTAAATTCTCACATTTGTCTTTTTTTTTTGTTGTTGTTGTGGGCCTTTGAAGCTGAGAGAATATGTTGATGATACAGAGGACTACATCAACATAATGCTGGATGACAAGCAGAACCATCTCTTACAAATGGGGGTCATGCTAACCACCGCAACCTTAGTGGTTAGTGCCTTTGTCGCCCTCGTCGGAGTATTTGGCATGAACATTCAAGTTGATTTGTTTGATAAGAAGAAATCTGGGATGTTGGAGTTTCTGTGGACCATCGGAGGGGGAACCTTCGGCAGTGTGTTCCTCTATGTGATAGCTATTGCTTGGTGTAAGCGCAGGCGCTTGCTCGAGTAGTATTTTCATCTTGCCAATGCCATCATCAGCCACTCCAAACGAAGAGTTGAGCCATTGCTTTGATTTGATGATTGTGAATTTAGCTGCTGCATGAATGTTTGTCTGGATATATTTGTCGGTCTGTAGAGTTATTATTGTGTTGTATTGGATGTGGCTGCTGCATGATGTGTATTTGGACACATTTGCCTGTTTGTAGACTACTCGAACCCGAGAAATTATGATGTGTTGTTGTGTAATCTCCCCGGGCCTAAAATGTTGCTCCTGTCTAACGGAAAGTAGGATTTGCATATTGTGTCTTAGTATTGATGTAATTAGGTGGAAAATTTTGTCTTAGTATTCAGAAATATGGAATGTTTATATATGTTGGTGTAAACAACTTTTCTAGCCGTGGCCTCGAGGCTGACGCGGCTTGTTCGGGGGTCCGAATGGCAGGGATCTTACGTGGCGTCCCTTGAGGTCTCCCGACGACCGGTCACGGTGGTCGGGTCGGGATGTCGCGTCGGGTGGAGAGCTTCGCCACAGCGTCGAGAAGAGGCGACCTCGTTCTCGCACCTGCACATAGGTCGAGTCAGAAGCTCGGCCCGACCCCTCCGACGATCAAGTCAGTGAGGTAGAGGGAGTTTTGGATGAGGGAATGCCTCTCTGTATGTGTTGTGGTCGTTTTTCTCCCCCCGTTTGTCTAGAACTCTGGGGTATTTATGGATGAGTTTGATGTTACCTGATGTGGCTGTCAGCAGGAGCAGGACCGTACCTCCGATGGCGTCTGACATTGCCACTGGGGTTGCGTGGAGAACCGAACTACCGCAGGGTATGGGCGAGCTTCGGGCGACGTCCTCCTTTGCCTTGGCCGAGCGCGCAGGGTCAGACGGTTGAGTCGTTGACTGGGAGCGGGTGACGCTGGCGCATATCAAGTCGGCGTTAATGCTCATTTCCTCGAGCAGTGTGTCGTCAAAGTACAGCTGACATCATGGCGCATTACATTACCATTTTTACCCTTATCAATATATATTGACGATTGCTAATCCAATATTGATTTGGAAACATAATTATGCATTAATTATGTATAATTTTCATTTAAAATTTGATAACGAAGTCCCGTTAAATATCGAGCCCAGGTGAAGGGAATGCACTATAAGGGCCGCCCCAAACTAACAGTAGAAGAAGAGTCTTCGATTCTTCCCTTTCCTCGGAGTCATCATCGTCCTCCGGCCTTCTCCCTCCTCTTTCCCACCGAGTCATTCAACCCCCAAAATGACTCTCGAGGATGGCGAGTACCGCCTTACCTGCGTTCTCAGGGCTCATGAAGACGACGTAAGTGCCCTCCCTCCCCCCTCACTCCTCTTCTCTCGCGTGATTCTCTCTGGTTCCCTTGTCGCGTCCCTCTCGACCATCTTTTCTTCTTCGACCGGAATCATCTCATGTGATGCTGCGCTCAGAAACCCTGCTTGTCCCCTCCAGAACCATAATTTTATTCGCCATCTCAAGATTCCACCCTAGCTTTCGCCTCAAGAACCGAAGTTTGATTCGCCATCTCCAGATTCTACCCTAGTTTTCGTTTCGAGAACCGTAGTTTGATTCTTCATCCCAAGGTTCTGCCCTAGTTTTCGTTTCAAGAACCGGTATTTGATTCTTCGTCTCAAGATTCTTGGTTTGCTCCTCGTGACGATGTTCTTAGGTCCGTCGGATTTGTGTATGTGGGGATTCCGGGATCGCGACCTCGTCCAGGGACAAGACGGTGAGGTTCTGGGTGCCGGACCCAGAGAAGAAGCATGGTTATGTGCTGTCGAAGACCCTGGCTGGGCATACCAGCTTCGTGGGCCCACTGGCGTGGATTCCTCCCGGGGGTCAGTTCCCCGAGGGTGGAATCGTGTCAGGCGGGATGGATACGCTCGTGCTGCTCTGGGACTTGGCTAGGGGAGAGATCACGGAAAGGATGACCGGACATCAGTTTCAGGTCACTGGGCTCGCTGTAGACGACAACGGGGACATAATCTCATCATCCATCGATTGGTATAATTCTCCGATCTTTAGTCATAGCCTAGTCTCATGAGTCTTTAATTTTAGTTATCATTGCTAATGCCTTTTTTTAGTATTTTGCTCCTCTTTGATCATAATAGAAGGTTTTGCAATCATTTCTACAGCGTGAAGACAACTTTAATGTAATAATAGGTTCTTTTGACAGAACCTTGAAAATTTAATACTTTTTAGGAGTATGTTGTTGATGTGTGGTTCAGACAATGAGGCCAGAGTAGGGTGATTGACCTTTACGCTTAGTTTGAAATGCTTAAAGGTGAACCTTGTTGATGGACCGAAACATAATTTAAAATCAAGAGGAACCTTACTTTTGCAGCCTGTTGGTCATCACATTGCGAAAATTGGGTAGTTGGTTGCGAAATTTATGTCCAGTGCTAATTGGTTTTTGTGGCAGTGCAAGATGGGTTTCAGTAACAGAATTTGCATGCAAGTGCTATTCAATTGCAACGGGAGCCAACTAGGACACAATTTAATTGGTTCATAAACCTCTGCTCAAACCCATCTCTAGGCACCAAAATATTTGGTAGGAGAAAATTTGTCGCTATCGCGTCCTTATGTGACTATTATAATTTATGTTATTTTTTGATTGTTTTACTTTGCTTAGTCCTGACTTGTAGGCTCTTCTTGCTAAAAATTGTCTCCTTTTTTATTATAATATTGAAGTACACCCTGAATATCTGTGTTGTCTTCACGAGCAGTTAAAAAGTTATTGTGTGATGTGTAACAAATATATATTATAAAATGTAATTGGTTATTGTCAATAATAGTCAGAATGTTCCTTAAATAAATAAGACTATTTTTGGTTTCACTTTATTTTGGTGACGCTTTTTCTAATTCTTGTTGTGTTTGCATTATCCAATTGGCACTTGTGTTGCAGTACAATACGGAGGTGGAGAAAAGGCCATGCCGTTGAGTTTTGGGAAGCTCACAAGGTGGCTGTTCAAGCAGTTTTGAAGCTTTCCACTGGTGAATTCGTTACTGGTAACGCCTTCAATGATGTTATGAGTTGGTTAGAGCTGTTAGATCTGGTAATTGTGAATTTGACTCTTTTGTGATCTGAAAGCACAAGTATTTAGTCATATGCTTAATTTATTCAATACCAAATAAAATTCATTATTTGCAGAATTTATTTGATTCATAATAAATTTATATTATCATATCATAAGTGAAAGCCTGCAATTTATGTTCATTTGGGCCCTTTAATTGGAAGGTTTACATGCTTGTCGAAGGTCCAGCAGACCGTATATTAAAATATATGTTTCATGGTCGGTGTCAATAGCAGAGTTTGATAATTAGAATATGTTTGGAGAAGAACTTGGTGTGCTTGTATAATAATCTCCATGCAGTAATTCTTGGTGTAGGAAGAAACCTAAAAGGAATAGTTTTAGATGATGATGTACGTAATGAATACATGCAAGATCTCCTAGCAAAGTTTTTTGAATTGCATCAGCGAACAATACCTCAGTTATTACCAAACATCTCAGCTGTAGTCATACAGAGGCTTATGTTTCAAAAAATTTATTGGGCCTTATAATTTGTGAATTTCGATTATTTTCTATTCAATCACCCTTTATATATTAATGCACTAAAACTGAAGGATGTCAAGGTTCCCTACAAGTCCAGAATATGAAAAGCAAATGATTGATTGGAACTTCATTGGACAGAGAAGCATCCCATTGGAATGGAAGGACAATGAAAATTAAACGATAATTGGGCATGTCATCGCCACCTATTTAGATTTCTAAATGAATGGTCAAACATTTGGTTGATTATTGATTCAAGTTGTGCTCTCATTCACATCACATTAATGTCATACTGATGTTATAAGCCCATAAGCGGGTGTGCATAATATTTTGTTGCTAAAAAGATGTTGACATAGATTTAATTGTTTGTGTAGGTTCCAGTGATTCAACCCTTAAACTTTGGAGAGGACGGACTTGTTTGCATACTTTTGTGGGTCATGCAGGTTGGTTCTAGTATTTTTTTGTTTTATTATGAGTAAGCTAACTTATGAAATGTCCACAGTTGTTCTTTGAGGTGTTTTCGAGTGTGATAAATACTTGGGCTTGAAATTGCTTTTTATGGTATCTTCCTCTATTTTTCATGCATAATTCTTATAATTATTATTCATGCTTATTCTGTGTCATTTTCTTCATGACCCCTTTTTTATGCCAATGCTGATTTGAAAATTTCAAAGCATCAATGAGTATTTTAATTATGACAACAATTTTTTATGTAGTACTTGTAAATAATCTTTTGTACTGTAAGTATATATTTTATTTGTTTAAGGGGGCTGGTTTTCTGTTCTCACAATGTATTTCTCAGGTCCAAAGGTAAATAGTTTCTTTGGTGTCTAATTTTCTTAATACAAGCAATCATATTGATATTTCTTTGTCAAGTTTCACAGTGTTCTTCCGTGACATTGCTTCCTATCTGCAGCTTGAACATAAATGAACCAAGAGAGTCACATGAGTTGGTATAGTGAAGAAAGATATAATATCGGTGATCCTTCGGTGTCATTTCATCTTCTAGCTCAAATGATATCCATCCGACTTCACCCAATTATTTTTTTGAGGAGGATGTTTCATTCGCTAGATCATGTTCGTCATACGATTAATATTTAATAGTCTAGTGAGGTTTGCTTTTTAAAAACATGCTCCCATGCCATCAGATGGGTTACATGAGTGATTCTCACATTTGGATTTAACTGCTTTTATTTGCAGTCGAGTCTGTTGGAGAATTTGAAATGCTCTACCGTGCAAGGTTTATGCAAATATGTATTAACAATCCATTGAGAACCGGAGATAAACTTGTTGAAGCAAATATATGTTGAACATGAATGTGGTGTACAGATACCATTAAGATGGTCAATCTCTTACAAAAATGGACTGGTCGACTTATGTACGTAATTTTGTTTAATTTATAGCTTCATCTTACATTCATGTTCATCTTACAAAAATGAACATAAATGTGGGAAGTAAATTGAATTTTGATTTTTCGATTTTGGTCTCAGGGTGTTTTACAGACTTCGGTGCAACATCTCTTTAGCTATTTTGTTTATCTCATTTATGACAGTCTTTACAAACTTGCTTTGTCATGTTATCGTGTCGAGTCTCTAAAAAATTTTCTGAGTGTGATAATATTTCTCTTGCATTTTTAGAGGTGCAACATCAACTGACTACCATTGTGGGTCACACAACCATTGTTAGGAGTCATTCCATATGGCTAAATTTTGTTGTTGCTTTACTGGGAGGCATTCCATATGGCCACTTTCCATTCTCTTTCTTTTTTTCGAACAAGAATCTCTTTCTTCTGTATGCGTGTGGCTGGCATTCAATTTGTACTTATTTCCATAAACTATAGCTAATGTTCGTAAGGCCCTCACAGATACTGTTCGTGGTCTAGCTTTGATGCCTGGATATGGGATCCTTTCTGCATCACATGATGGGTGAGTCAGTCTTGGCATATTTGTCAAGGGCAAGTGATTTTCTTATTTCTTTCTTATTACAAATGCTCCTAATCCTATTATGGGCCTTTTTAACTGCTTGAATGATTGATAATGAGAGGTATAGGTTCATAATTATATCTTCTGGGCACTAGTTCTGTGCGTGCTGCATGAAGCAGAAAGCTATTATATTTCTGATTTTAAATTTTTGTTGATACAAACTTGATGGGAAACTTATGTAGTTTATGTTTTTCTCTCATACTTTTCATCTTCATTGACATAGTATACATGCTTGTCTGTATTTTAGTCAAAGCAGATGATTTAGTCAAATCTATTTTTATTTAAATTTTAGAATAAGGAATTTGTACATTTAGTAATTGTGAAATGAAATAGTCCTCCGTTATAGATCTGTGTTGATCAGCGAATATAATTTCTTGAATGCATGCACAATGTGCATTCTTGCAAGTGTATGACCACTATATGACCTTAAGTAGACATCTATGCAGGCTTTTGCAAGTGTATTACTAATGGCTCATTGGTGGCAGCATATAGGAAGCAGGGACTATGCATTCAAATACTACTTATTGCATGCTTGATCTATTTTTTGAAGGTAGGGTGAGTTTCCTATGCTATGTGCATTGCTTTCTTGACAATTGAGGGATGTGAACTGCAATGCTGATCTAGAAAGTTGGTCAATGCATAAACTTCGAACATGGGTTTTAATTTGAATTGGATTTACTCTTCATAACAATATGGAAGCAATGATGAAGTGCCAATACTGGACCCATAAGCTTGTAGGGGTTTGAGGATGGTTGAAGTAAATAAATGGTGATGACAGTTTGACCATCTAGTACCATCTTCTAGGTTATTGCCATTTTACGTGGCTAGGTCCCAGTTATTCACCAGTTAATCATAATTATAAGTCGTATACTATTATCGAAATTAATTTATTTCTTGTTCACATTAGATTGTTCAAGTTGCCGATGCGTTTCTATTATGATGGATAGTGACTGTTTATGATTTTATGCTTTGAATTTATTCTTTCTAATCTTCCCTCAATGTTTGCTTTCAATCGGACAATGCATTTCTTTGGTAATTAATTTTTAATTCCTAAACTTCTCTTGTTGCTCAATTTAATTTTTCGATCGAGTGGCAGCACCATCAAGTTATGGGCTTTGACTGGTCAAATTTTGATGGAGATGATCGGTCATACTTCTCTGGTATATTCCGTTGATGCCCATTCGTCTGGAATTGTTGCTAGTGGAAGTGAAGACTGTTTCCTCAAGATATGGAGAGGTGATTTCTCTTGGATTTATGCATACATTTTGACATAATTAAGAAGCTATTTTGTTTTGGTGGCCCTATATTGGGAGATATTTATCTTTCAAAATATCTAGAATATGAATTATGCAAATCCATGGCATATTGTCTTGATGAAAACCTTGTCTTTTTGTGCTGTGATCATGTTTAGTTCTAACTTTTTGTTTGCACATAACTAATATTGAGCCTAAGAGATTGAAATTTGAATAGGTGAGCCATGGCAGTGAAACTATGTGATCATGGGTTATCTTTTCCAAATCCATTTTGCCTTTCAAGTATATTTCTAGTTCATGTACTGTCTTCTCCTAGTCCAACCACATTGTCAACCATTAATACTAGGTCTCATCTGCGAAAGCCACAAAACAGTGGTTGTAGTCTATTATGCATAAGCACTATGTTCAGCTTTAGCTGAAGGTTGTCATAGTTTCATTTGTACTTTTTAAGGACGATGCTCGTTTAGTGCAGGTGTGACAAAAACACTATTATCGCTATTACTTTTTTGCTCTCTTTTCTTATTGTTTATTATAAGGCCAGTGAAATATATTTCTTTTCATTCTCAGTGTTAATTGAGTCTATTGTTATTGTGGTTTCTATATAAAAAATGGTTAGTAGTCAACACATTGTTGGTAAACAATAGAAACAAAATCTGTATTCACTCAGGATTTGACTGTACAGTTGTATATTCTTGTTCTTGTGGTTATACTCTAAAATTTTGTGAAGTTTTCATTTTTTGATAATTCGTATCTGTGGTGTCTAGACTGAAGGGCCCAATCAGATGAGCTCTGTCCACTTGTTTCCATCTTCCTAATCATAATTAATCATATTTCATCAAATTTTCTTGATGTGGTTTAGAATTATATTGATGGGAAATTCTTATGCTAAGCAGATGGGACGTGTATACAAAGCATTGAACACCCAGGATGTGTTTGGGATGTCAAATTCTTGAAAAATGGAGATATTGTCACAGCATGTTCTGATGGAACTGTGAGAATATGGACATTACGTAGTGATAGCATTTGTGACCCACTGGAGCTTGAAGCTTTTGGATTGGAAATTTCTCAATATAAAACAAGCAGGTATTTTATCTGTTCTCCAATTCAAACTTGTCAATAGACTGATTGTGAAGATTATTAAAGAAAAGTTGAAAACTGTCTTTTCCCATTGTTCTATGAGAGTTTTGACATATTTGCCTTCTGTAGTTTTTAAGTTTGTGATATTATTTTTGGAAGACTGACTGAACTTTTTTCTTTAACCATTAATCAGTAACGATAGGTCATAGGTGTACTTGTTTAGTGGGATCAGTTGAAATTTTTTGGCTGAATGGTTGTGTAGGCTAGGTGACTCATAATGAAGATAATAATATATGGGCTGCAAATTGATGTCATGGTTTTATTATCAGTTGGACTGATACGTGTTGATCAGTATCTATCGGTCTAACCAAGTATTGATACTGAAGTGTTTGGTTTGGTACTAATATATTACTGTTCATTTTAATTTTTAAATTAACCGATAATATCAGGCACTATAGGTCAATTATCATCTAGCACATGGTTCGCCTTACCGGTCCATACCGATTTACTGGCCGGTATGGTATATACCGATGTACCGATACATAATATATACTGCCCATACCGAGCGGTACGTCATGGTACGGTGAACCTTGATCCAGCATATTAATTTTGTGCCTGTATGATGGTCATTGAAATTGATGTTTGACCATGATTTTAAACTTGATTGCAGCATTATATTCTACGGTTATATTGGTTAACTACTACTCATCTACAATTTTTTTTTATTCTTTTGCAAAACCTGTTTCAGGAAGAAAGTTGGTGGTTATAATTTGATGGATCTTCCTGGTTTGGAGGCTTTGCAAGTTCCAGGTCTAGTATCATTAACATAATAACCTTTATATATGAACAATCTCATCACAATGTATTCCATAGCATTATGCTTCTGTTTGCTTCATATTCATGAAATATTATCTCAGTTCTTATTGTACTTGAATTTATTCTCTGGACATTTAGTAAATTATAAATCATAGTATAACTCTACTAACATTTGTTATGTTGTCACAAACGGTCGTCACACACCCGCAACAACTTCGTCCAACGAACCGTTCGTCACTCTTGCAAACTTGTATAGATGTTTGACAGCATGTTTTGCCTTGGTTTTGTGTGTTTTTGCTTGTAAAAATTTAAGTTCGAACAGGTTGCAGCGCTACAATGTGATCGCTCACTGCGTCGGGCAAAACTGCCCCAAAATAACTCCGTTTTCGCGTGCCATGACCTGTTTTGTGCAGACCGTTGCTGCACGGGAAACGTCAGCTATCTCAACACCTTGGAACCACCCGGGTGGCACTAAGGGGGATGGGGCTTTGGGGTAGTGTCGGGCGTTGAACAATCTTCACAAGTTCGCACGTTAACTTGACGGGAATTTGCATTCGCGGCCGGCACCCGGTGAACAGTTGTTTGTGGACTTGTAACTGTTCGTTCTTCCTTCTAAAGTCTTTGTTTTCTCCTTTCTTTGTTTTCTCTTTTGCACTCAAGGTGCTCGCTAAATTTCTCTCTTCGCGAGACGTTGGGACTTGTCCGTCGCTCGTTTTTGAACTAATCAACTTTCTGTTTTACAGGTCCTTCGGGACCTGTACGAGGTTGCAACTAGGTTGATCCTTTGCGGACACATATGTCGCATGGGCGCCTCATGACTTAGGCAATCCCAGCTAAGTTCGTGACATTGCCGCAAGGTTGTCTCACGACTTAAGCAATTCCAGCTAAGTCTGTGACATTGCCGCAAGGTTGCCTCACGACTTAAGCAATTCCAGCTAAGTCCGTGACAATGCGGTCAGTCTACAACATGTTTCTTTTCTTGGTGTTCAGAGATACCCCATTTTTATGGTAATGAAGTTGTAATATATATGGTTTTATATTAAGCAAGTTGAGACAAAACCAATTAAGGAATTATTACTTGATGAAGGTAACATGCAAGTTTTCAGACCAAGGTCTGGTGTGCCGATGGACTGCAATGGTATCAATATGGATTAATGTATTGACCCTTGGTATTGGTTCGTGCCGATTGTTACCCCCATACCAAGGAGAAAGAGGGAGAGGGCGAGAAGGTGGTGGCAGCAATAAGGTGAAGCAAGGAGCAGGAGGCAGAGGTATGGCGATGCAAGGAATAGGTAGTGGTGGAGGAGGCAGATATGTTAGTGGTGATGGCAGCAGAGAAGGCTACTATGGCGGCAGCCAAGCCATGTGGGGTTAGGGGGTTTGTGGAAGCTGAGTGAGAGAGAGGAGATAGAAAAATATTGATAGAAGAAAAGGGGAGAGGACCCAAATAAAAAATTCAAAAAATCCTAGTTCCGGGTAGTAAGCCTATTGTTCGATACACTATGAATTGGACATATCTTGATTAGACTGCTCGATCTGGTAAGTCTACTGGGAATGAACACTATTCTAAGTTGGATGGGCAATTACTCCATGTCCGTGTACTGGTTATGACCTCAACTAGTAAAAACTGACCAGCATAGACCAATTGTGTTAATTTTTTGAACCTTGAATTAATATATACATTGCACTTAGAAAGGGTAAGTTTCTTAAGATTCCGAAATACACTTCTTATAGAGTAGGATTATTGGGAGTAACAAAATCACCAAAAAGGAAAAAGTTTACATACAGGACTTCTTATAATTAGTAGGCTGTTTATATGAGTGGTTGTAAGCCCTTGAGAATATTAATATTTCATGTGATTATTTATTAAGTGTAGTTAGATAGTTTTTCTTTCTCTCTCTTGTTCCTCCATGAGAGGTTTTGTTTTGTCAAATTGGCAAAAGGCATAATAGTAGAGTTGTATCCCATCAGGAATGTAATGAGACAAATAAGCTGCCAACCCCCAGCGCTTTCTTACAAGAATCACCCTTGTCAACGATCTGCTCTATTTCTGAAACTAGTTAGTAACAGTATTAGAAATCACTTCTAGACTTGTTAGATTTTAGATATTAATCTCATGAAGAAAATGTGAGTAGCGTCAAACCTATAATTTGGTTGACAATGTCATCATGGATTATTGATATATACTTATTTTGCTACAATGCTACTGAGTTTACACCACTGAGATTGGAATCAGAACCAAATTTAGAATTTGGCAATGAGACCCCTAGAGGATGCTAGATTGGGAAATTTTGGAACTGACGTAAGATTGATCAAAATATGCTGGTTATAATTGGTCCAAGATTCAGCCCAAAACTGGTGACAGCAGTTACCGATGAACTAGATGGGACTTGCAGGAACCTATTAGAAAGATTGGAACTCATTGTGATCGACCTAACTTGTTGGCAGTCGATGGTATTAAATAAAATTAGTGAGGACTGTTTGGACTTGGCTTAAACTAATCTTAATTGTTATTATCATTTGAGGGATGGACTTGACCTGTTCTGTTTGGGCCTTGGCGATCTTGGATTGGGTTTATTGGCTTTAGCCTTTTCCAGATGAGTCCGGTTGATTCCTTAACAACTTGGGGTAGTTGGGCATTTTTTTAGCCTTCTTGTGCCAAGAGTGTCATGATGTGAAGGTGGAGTAACCACAATCTGTCTCACATTGCATTTGGCTCATATCTACATAATCACCCGATCGGCATTGACATGATGTTACATGTGCTGTAGAATGAACAATTGCCCTTTGTGTTTGTCAATAGGTGATCGACACCTATTGCTAGTCATTGGCATTGGCATGTCATGACAAGGAAAATCATGAAGAAAATGGGATTGGCAGTCCTTTCACTGTTCATTTTCTTATGATTTTATGGTTTTCTCTCTTCTACATGAGGATCAATACGTCATCATTGATTTATTTCTTTTGTTTTCGGAGTTGCTAGATAGATTTGAGACTCTATTTATCACTAATGGAGTAGCTACAATCATCGACAAGACAAGTCTCTGAGAAGACTTCTTAATAAACAAAACAAGGGATTTGATCAGTCTTAGTTTTACAAGTGATATTTTACTTGACAGAGCTCACCAGCGAGGAGGGATATGTATCTGATGTCAGTGGCCTTTTTTGTTATTCTATCAGCTTTAACTTGCATGCAATTGCATTCTTTTGCATATCACACCTTGGTCTGCTCTAACATCAACAGTAGCCTTTTTCTAAGTCAAAAAGAGTCAAAGTAGGAACGATAACCAAGCAATGCGAATGGTAATCACAAGGTTTTTAATTTCGAATAATACCGCCTGTATCGGGCGGTACCGTCGATTGAGGTTGTTTTCGCCCCGTTACCACCCACTACTGGGCCGGTGGTATTAGCCGAGGGAGAAGAAAGAAGAGGATAACCTGGAGATTCGATGCCGCTCTCCCTCCTCGTCTGAGGCGACGAGGCACATTCATCTAATGTATTGCAGCCTGGGAAAATCATAACTGAGAGAGAGACTTCTGGTAAGCTAAAACTAAGGAACTTAATGCTGAAAGGGTTAATCACTTACAGGTCAGCACACTAAACTCTTGAGTGGATTAGCAAGCCATTTGGACTTGTTTATGGGTAACAATGAGCAAAGGCAGCAATTTAACTGTCCAATTGATAAAAAACCTTTTAGGAAGTATGGATCCAAGTATTGAGGTATTTCCATATAATGTATAAGACTACTGATATGCAATAATCCTCGGCGTCGTCAGCGACTTCTCCTCATCCGCGTGGGGAGAAGAATCCTCGGCAACGTCATGGGGTGAAGAAATCGAGCATCGTTGAGGCGGCGTTTCTTCTCCCCACGCAGGCAGAAGAAACGACGAGGCGGCGACAACATCGCCTCGTCGCCCTTTTTTACGTGGGGAGAAGGAAACGGTTTCTTCGCCCCACCTCTCCGTTCGGGCAGAAAAAAGATGATGTCGCCTTATATATATATATATATATATATATATATAAGAGTAAAAAGAGTCGACGTTGCCCTCGTTTTTCTGCCCGCGAGGTTTCTTCTCCCCACGTGCCACAAAGGGCGACAAGGCAATCGCCCCCCACACACACACTAAGTAGTATTCCGAAATATACCGCTCGGTATACAGTACCGTACCATACCAGACCGAGTGAATCTTGAAACTCCTGTATGGTACGAAATTTCAATCATTGAGCAATTGGCAGTGGACAAGTGTTATAAGTGGAAAAAACTCAAGTATGTTTCTTTACCAACTAATAGACTGATTCATAAATAAATAGATTAAGTGAGATGTGTCATGTAACAATTTACCCACTGCTTTATTGCTGATGGAGAGTTTAAGTGTGTGTGTGTGACAAATATAAACTCTGTATGTCACAGACTATATGCTGGATATGTCATCATTTTTTATATCGCATATTAAGGGTTTTTTTTTGTGGCATGCAGGAACATGTAATTCAATACTGTTTCTTGATTATTTGACTTGTGCAGTCACTTCATTAGTTTGGTGTATATATTTTTTTCTAATCGAGTGCTCCTTTTTGGTGGTAAATAGGCACAAAGGACGGGCAGACAAAAGTTATCAGAGAAGGTGATAATGGTGTTGCTTATTCTTGGAATTCAAAGGAGTATAAGTGGGACAAGGTATATGTTTATAAATAGATTTTGTATATGTTCTTAGAGAGAACCTGTTGAGTCATTTTTATGTGCTTGCTTTTGTTTGCAAAGGAGTTTGTTGTTATGCAAATTTTTAAGCTCATACAATGGTCTTTAGCAATGTTAAGTAGGAAGTAATACTCAATGCTTCTCCAGATTTTGCTCTGTTTTATTTAAAGTTCTAACAAAGAGATTGCTATGCTGTAAATCACAGAGCCTTTCTAAACTTTGGAGTTTCTTGTCTTTAATTTAAACTTTAAACTTATATGGAAATGCTATTGTGCTTTAATCTTTTTTTCATGTCTGGTCTTGAAGATAAGGTTCTTATTTTTATAAAAGCCTTGGCAAAGCTTCTTAGTTCTTTATCAGTTTATCGATCACCAAAATGATCTCTCTTATGGAGAAGTTAAATCCCTAATTTGTCATCTAACTTTGGATATTTTATTTTACTCTCTTCAAGTAATATGAGCAAGACTGAGTCAGGAAGATCAATGTCGTACAAATGAAGTTTCTGTTGCATCAAGTTTCTAGTTTCAGATTTGGTTTAGATACTGCTGATCTGAGCCATTAAAACTTTAAACCAAGGAATCAAGTTGTTAAGGTACTTGTCATGTTAGATGTGATCTAACATGATTGTCAGGTGGTACTAGTTTTGCTAAAGCTGTGACTAGAAATGAAAATTTAGGAAAGAGAAAGAAGGAAAACACTTGATAGTTTACAATGGTTATACATCTACATGTGCATCAATGAAACATCTTAAGTGGGGTCATGAGAACTACACCAACTACTTTTGCTCTTTAAAAGAGTCATGGAGATGTTAAACTTTGAGCTCGTGTTAGTTTGATGACCTTGAGCCAGTGATTTTAAAAGCGCTAGGCGCTAAGGCCCCAAAACGCGTGAGGCGTTAGGCGCTCGCTTGAGCGAAGCGAGACACTCTAAAATATTAAAATATAAAAAATATATAATATCTAATAAATAAAGATTATTTTGTATAGTAATTAATAATCTACTGTTAACAGTTATTTACTGTTAACAGCAGTTAGAAGGGAAGAGTAGAAACCGATAGTGAGAAGTCACGGTGAGAAGTCAGCGGACAACAATCGCGGCAGCGGACAGCAACAGCGGTAGCAGAGTCACGGATAGCAGGAGGCAGCAAACAGCAGCAACAGCGGCAGCGGAATCGCGGACAGCAGGAGGCAGCGGAGTCGCGTCATGGACAGCAGCAAGCAGTGGACAGAAGGAGTGGTAGACAGTGGACAGCAGCGGAAGCTGAGTAGACTCGGTCGACGACAGAGGAAGACTCGGAGGCAGCAGGAGAAATTGTCGGCGGTGGAGGCAGCGGGAGAAATCATTGGCGGCGAATGCAGAGGGAGGAATCGTCGGCGGCGGACGTAGAGGGAGAAAGCATAGGGTTGGAGTCGGGGTCGAGTGCAGGTTTTGACATAACTGCGTGCGTTAGTTGGTTCAATCGAACCAACTAACACAAATTTAACCGAACCAAACTTAAAAGTCTCGTTCGGTTGCCTTATATCAACCGGGCGCTTGCCCGAAGCGCCAAGTGCCTCATTGGTGTGTCGCTTGGCCCTTAAACGACGTGCTCGGGCCTCGCTTTGCCTTGCTTGAGCGCCTTTTTAAATCACTGCCTTGAGCATCCATTAAAAAAGGCTGATCTGTTTTTTGACATTTATCACTTATACTGGTTGATTTTAGATATTTTTAGTTTTTTCTTTCTAAAAATTGATTATGTTTGTCATCTTGGTATGAACAATTTGGTCTTGTGTTTCTTTGGATTATGTTTGTCATCTTGGTATGATCATAATGAAGTTTTCTTATTGGTGCTTTTACCTACTAAATGATCAGATTGGTGAAATCGTTGATGGACCTGGAGAGGGCGCATCTAATCAGGTTCTTGATGGTACACATTATGATTATGGTATGCAACAAGCCTTGTGCATTGAACTTTCCCATATATGTATATGTCTCTGATGGAGTTTTCCTTTCCTTTTTGGGTTTTAGTCTTTGATGTCGATATTGGGGATGGTGAGCCAATTCGTAAATTACCATACAATAGAACAGGTGATCACTCTTTTCAAATCCTTAAATTATAAGATCATACTCCCTTTTGATGCATCAACCTTTTATATTCATTTATGTTAAAATCTGTATTGTGCTGTTGTAGCATCATTTTTAATGTTTGTGTACTGTCTTCACCATTGAGGTATAAAGAAGATAAAAACCTTACAGTGAATCATGGTATTGCTTATAATCATTATCAGACACATAGTTTCTCTTTCCAAAAGACTGATAATATGGAATGTGGCATAAAGAAACAATATCTGAAAATAATCATTATCAGAACCAATAACATAAGGTATATGTCAATTCAAATTATAAAAATCTGTTCTATCCTTTTTGTTATTAGATAGCATCGATTTTGTGGGTTTATAAATAGTGAAAAACACTCTATACTCACTTGTTAAGTAACAAAGATGTCTATTTATATCAAATAACTTTTTTCTGCATAATTCTAGCATCCATAGATAAACAATGTTAGTTGACCGACATGCAAGGCAAGAGTTTTAAGATTCTTGCGTGTTCATTCAGATGTGGTTACTGTTTACTGATTGAAAGCATGTGAGAAATTATCTTACCAGGACATGTCTCATGGAAATTCAGTAAACACCTAGATTTGGTTGCTAATCTAAGAAACAGTTGAACTGATAAATCCAAATATAAATTTTGCCGGGAACTTTCTTTAAACATCAGAAACATGTGCTAAAAATAAAAAAAAATTCAATATATATCCCAATGAATTGGTCAACAAAGAGAAGTTCTAATCATGATATCAGATCTTAGTGCAGGATTGGATGATTAAAAATACTCCAAGGTTTTTCTATCAACAGTTATGAAGGTATCTGAAGTTTACTATGAAAAATTATTCAAGAAATATCTAAATACTTAAATCTAATAGTTATATTCCTCAATCTCGATCCTTTACTCTATGCCTTTACACCACAACTAGAAGGCAAGAGACAGCTTGGGGTATTCTCCAGGATGGAAGAAGAATAGGGACATGGTATAAAGATGAGAATGATCACAATTTTGGGTTTGAGGAGTATGTGCAAAAAGAAGATGACAACTAGATCAGACAGTGATGGATGGTGTGTTTCAGTTTCATATCTCTTTCACCCATGTTTTTTTTCTAACTATGTGTATGCTTGTCTGTTTTTTTATTTACGATATAAACTTAGACATTTAGTACCTTTCATCACTAATATTTCTCAATCTGAGTGGTCCTCAAGGAGAGTAGCCAAAAAGGCCATTCCTTACAAAATCGAATAGTATAAGACTGAAAACAGTTTGAGCTTGTTGGTTAGTCTATAATACAAGGTTATTTTTTGACATTCTATGATTGCATTTAAGGTCTTAAGAATCACCTTTTGATGAGAAGTTTGTCATTACCATCTACTTTTACTTTAATATTGCTGCCATCAACTGGAACACCAACTCATTGTTGTTACAATCCATTTTTTTACTAAACTAGTTGCATTGATATTGCCATTGGAATTTGGACATGATATCTTTTCAATGAAGACACTTTTATGTATGAGTTTATATTTACATGTAGGTTCATGCTTTCCTTTTTAGATATGATCTTTCCTTAAGCTATCACAATATGTTTTTATTACTATACAAATTTACTGTTTGTGCTTTGCTTGAAAGCTTGCTTCTTATTAAAAAAGTATGCTGTTTCCAGATAACCCTTACACAGTTGCTGACAAGTGGCTTCTCCAAGAAAGTCTGCCTCTTTCATATCGCCAACAAATTGTTGATTTTATACTTCAAAACTCTGGGCAAAGAGACTTTTCTTTTGACCCATCTTTTCGGGATCCGTATACTGGGTGTAAGAACAGGCTCTTTTTTGTCATGTTGATTTTGTCTTTTAGGATATTGGTATAATTATTTGCTCCTCATGATTCATTTAATGTTTGTTTCTCATTCAGCAAATGCATATGTACCTGGAGAACCATCCATTTCACAAGGTTTGTGCTCTTGTTTAATGTGTACTTATGGTTTATGTTAACTAACTGAACTGTCGGTTCCTTTTTTGATTGAAGCATAATAAACAAATTGCTACTCAAGATTTCTGCTGGTCATTAGTATGAGCCATTTTTTTTGTCATCTTTTTCACTATTTGCATCATTGTAGGCGTCGGAACGGCACCATCTTTCAAGCATATTCCAAAGGTATCTCTTCTTTTCCTTTCCCTCTTGTTTTAATTGGCAATAAAAATGTTGTAATTGAAGTGGGTTAACATATGTTGAAAATTTCACTGTCTACTTTCTTGATTCAAGCATCTGTGAAGATCACATATTTTCTGATATGTCCAAGCTTTTGCTGCTTCTATATGCTTAATTTTATCAAATTGCTCAATGCATATACATAATCTTAAGAAGCAGTCAAATGGATAGCAATTCCATATTAAATGGAAATTGGTTTTTTTTATCGTGTATCATATGATGTTAACATTTCAGAGTTTTTTTTACCCATCGTCTCAAAGTGTTTATGCAACTGATTTGTAAGGGTTGCTTCTGAAGACTTGTGTCATCATTTTCTAAATGATGGGTGTCCATAGTGGTTTCTGACATGATTTTATGAACAAAATTGAATTCATGTTTATTTATTCGGTATTCTTTTAATCTGCCAGCTAGATCTATCTTAGGTTACCAAATTAGCAAAGATTATTTTCCATGAAGCCATTGTTTATTTAATAATTTTGGATAGTTCTTGATGGATGTAGTTTTAAATCTTTATAAGCTAATTCAACTTAAGGGTACATAATGTTTATGGTTTTTTAGTACTTGTCAAAATTTTGAAGTCATTTATCCTTGGATCTTGTTCATGGATGTGTTGTGTGTGGATGTGTATAGCAACTGACTGATTGTTTGGCAGCATTAATTATTTTTCTCTCCAAGAGACAATTCTTCTTGCCTCCTATATTTTCTTTTTTGCTTTTCTAGGTAGGAATGCTTTTCTTTGATTCTGCACAGTTGGACGGAATTCTAAAGAAGATCACAGAATTCAATTCAGCGCTTGCGACTGATGTGGTAATATATCTGCTTTTAAGTTGATGATCTTTGTAAATAGATATGAATGCCAGTAGAAACATTGGATGCACCTCGTGATCATGTTAAACATCCACTCTGCTGCCTTCATAATTAAAGAGGTTGATGGAATCTCTGTATTTTTCAGATGTTGATAATGTAATCTTATTTTCTTTTGTTATAGATAACTTGATCAGTTATATACCTACTGAACATGGCTTTGACTCTTTCCACTTGAATAATCCTTTTCTTTAGTTTCTATTGATCAACATGGTACTGGTGGTATGCAATGTAGAAGATTTCATGTGTAATGGGGAACTAATTGTAGTTGAAAAACATTCTGAGGCAGGGCAACATCACTTTGTTCAAATTTATATAGATTGGGCAGGAAATCAGTTTATTAAATATACGATCTGCTTTGTTATTATTAGTCCAAGCAGGGGGCATCGGATTGGGCTTTTGTGATGTTATCAATTGTGTGCTCTTTGACACTGCATGCTTTAACTTGTAAAATTGATAAAAGTAAATAATTGAACAAGGTGTTTCTAGTAATTAGTTAATATTTCTCCTAATAATAGGGCTTAGTAGACAAAAAGATCTGTGTAGCAACCCCAGATAGTTGGGAGCTACTAAGATTTTCACAATCATTAACTTCATATCTTATATACATTACATTATTTTGTTTGTGGTATGGATCCTGTGCTTCTGATATACATACACACGTGTGTGATTCCCCATTTTAATTCCTGTCTCTTTTCAGTTGTTTTATTGTCCGTTATCTAATAATAAGATTTCTGTGTATGCCGAGTAAAAGGATGTAATCAATATCCTACCATTGTGCTGTGAAACACCTTTTTTTTTTCATACCTGTCATTATTGCTGTCACTGGGAGGCAAAGATTAATCGACATCCAAGTGCCATATACTTTACAATATATAACCTTAAATGCTCCACTGTCTGTATGGTAAAATTCATTTCTTATGTTGTCACAGTTGTGTGCCAAGTGCTTTTTTATATTCTACCCAATTGTTAGGCTTATATATATTTAAGATTTTGAATACCAGTTGGACTGGTACATGTTGATCGTATTTATCAGTCCGACCAAGCACCATTACTGAAATTTAGCATATACTGTTAATTTTTATTTATTTTATTTTATTCAATGATGATGAGTAGAATAGCTTGGTGAATTGTCCACCATACCATTTGCATGGTAGTCCGTTTGGTTACTGAACTGGTATTTAAAAACTCATGTATGATTACACTTTATTCTATAAATGTGAAGAATTGTTGTCTGCTATTTTCTTTTGTGTCTTTTCGTATATCTTCTCACTAGTTTATATTCACCACATTCTTTTAGGAGAAATCACTGTCGCTCTCGGAGCTTGAGTTGTCAAGGCTGGCAGCTATTGTGAAAGTTTTAAAAGATACATCACACTATCATTGCAGTTCCTTTGCAGATGTTGATATTCTATTATTGTTGAAATTGTTGAAGTCATGGCCAATTCCAATGTTATTTCCTGGTAATCCTCTTGCATTCAATTTTCATTTGGTCTTTTCTTCATGTGCATTTGTCTATATGGATTTATGCTAATAGGGCATTGTTAATATTTCTTGCATGCTTCCATTACTTTATCGAGTAACTTGGTACATTTCTGACATAACTTTTGTCATAAGCATCGTCCATCCTTAGTGCAGTCTACCTTGCGTCTAGAACATACTTCATTCTGCAGTACGTGCATCTTACACTGCTGGACATGCCAAGGCATTTCTAGAAAAAAGTTATTTTAGTATTCTGCTTGTCGCACAGTAGCACACTTGTATTGTATCATCATGCTTCATAAATTGAAGGGGGATGCTTGACTTTTTTGCACAATATAATTTTTATTTTACTTTTACGAAAACACATACAAGGCCTATATTAATATGAAAATTCAACCAGAAATATAATTAGATTTAGATGATTTTAATTATTTAAATTTGTGTGGTGATATTTATTTGTTCAAGTCCACAAAATTTAAATATAAATGTTATTAAACTCATGTTAATATAATATAATATAATATAATATAATAATATAATATAATATAATTGTGTCCTTGTCGTGTCCGTATCCTAAATTTTTTTAAAATGATGTGTTGCCGTGTTCGTGTCCCGTGCCCATGTCTATCTCCATGCTTCTTAGTCTCTCATACATAATATGTTGCTTTTGACTTGCAGTAATAGATATTCTGCGGATGATTGTCTTGCATCCAGATGGAGCTAGTTTGCTTCACAAGCACATGGAAAGTGGGAATGGTACTGTCTTGTGATATTGCTTTTCTGCATTTTTTTTCATGTGAATATAAATTGTTCTGAACATAGCTATGAAGCAATCACAGATGTACTAATGGAGATATTAGTTAAAGCTACGACGGCTCCTCCACAGACGGCAAATCTTTTAACAGTTGTTCGAGCAATTACAAACCTCTTCAAGCATTCATGCTTTTCAAATTGGTTACAATCTCACTACAGTGAGGTATTACCATCTTGCTTCACTATCTTGGTCTTAAATTGTTTTTTTTTTAGCTTAAATTGGTTTATTGTTGCATTTGAGTAAAGATTTCTCATGCTGATTACTCATGTAGAAGTATTCTGGTCTTTTATTTTGCTTTACCAAGATTGGAAGCTTTGGTTTCTATCTTTGTTTGGTTACATAGATTCTTCATGGTATATGTTGCAAACAGTGGTAATGAATTCTGCTACCACTTTAGTGTTCTCTTTTGCTGTAATCTTTTCTTGTATCATTAATTGAATGCTGGCAGGCAGGAATATGTTCATCGTTGATTGCTGTAATTTGAGAATAACAGTTGCTCAGCATCAGATTTCAAATATTAATCCGGTAAAAGCTCAAGTGGTTTAATTTTACATAAAAAGTCCCAACCCAGTTTCTAGTTTGTGGAGATGCATCTATCATTTATCACTGTGCAGGAAACACCATAATTTAGAGCCATTTTATATTTAACCAAGTGTTTTTTTGTCTTCTCCTTGCCATTTTAAATTTCACCTGCCTTGTCTTGAATCTTGATGAAATAAGATTTTATAGACTTTGCCTATATTTGCTTCAAAAAAGGCAGCGCTTCTAAGTTAAAACTAGAAAACTGTAGATCTCACCGGCCCTCTGATGAGATGGCCAATGCAACAGATGAGACAATGATACAACATCCTCCTTGAGGTATTGCAACAATATACATGTCTATTAAATCAAGAACCTCCTCCCTGCCACTTGTGTCAGCATCAGATGTTTTGAAAATTTAATCCTTGACCTAAGAAATTTAAATACATATTGTGAAAACGCTTGTTTTGTGCTATAAACCATTGATTCAGCTAATCTTATGCATAGCAAGGATATAACCAGAATAGCCAAAATTAATGGAAAGTGATATTATCCGAAATTGAAATTAGATCATTGATGCCGAGATACTACAACAAGTTGCATATTCTGATTTGCGAGTAAGTGAAAGTTGTAAGCGTGGTTATAGTTTATTCACTGGTAGAGATCAGAAAAGAGTAATAGCCTTCTCTATGTAACTTAAATTTCTGCAGCATGTAAGAGTTACATTCTAGCTTGATCAAATGTGGAAATTTTATTTTAGCCATTGTAGTTGCCCAATTTTGGCTATACAATACAAGGGTAACATGTACTGAAGATTGTACTGTAGATTGTCTAAGCATGTATTGGCAGAAGGGACCAAGTTTACAGATGTTCTGAGCTCTATGCGCCATAGGGGTTGCGGCATAATTGTTTGTCATTACAATGTAGATAATAAACTTTCACTAAATTGTCATTCTGTCCGCAAACTTCATTAATGTAAGCAATATATGCTGTATAATCACCACTCACAGCAGAATCAGCCACTGGACAAACTGTTGCAGTAGCAGTAGCAGCTATTGCTGCTTGCCATTCCCAGGAGCTTTCCATTTTTAACGATGGTGCCTTGATCGCCAGCATGGCATCATTCAACCTTCTAAATTTTCATGTGATATGATCTTCCATATATTGATATGCTACTAATATGAAATTTCAGAGTTAAGGATACATAACATATCTGAAATAAGAGTGTTTCTCTGAGTGACGTTTTTATAGCTTATAAAAATGGTTCTTTCATCCTGTTCGGCAATAGTTTTAAACTTTTAATGGTGTATTGACTCTGTATGCTTTCAGGTTCTGGACACCTTATCAAGTTGCAGGTCATTCTTTAACAAGAATGCACATCTTTGTTATGCCACATTGATATTGAAGTAAGTCTTGGATTTTGCACCTTTATGGATAGTTTCTGTATTTTATTATTTTTTACACATGTTTGAAAACTTTATTTGAAATAAGTCAAACATCATTCTTGTTTCAAAGTGTGCTCTGAGATTATAGCAGGTTGGATAAGTAAAATAATTCTCAATTACACATTATTAATATCTCCATTTGTCTTTGCCTTTGTAATGTTGATTTTGAAGTCAGCAATAAAGCTTGTGTATTTAAATGGGAAATTTAAGACCACACGTGGCAATCTTTTAAATGTCCAAAGTTCGAGGTGTTATGATCTTTTAAAATTTTGCACTTTTACAGGCCTGGAGATCTGAATGTTGGAGCAAATTCTTCTTAGCAGTTATGAACAAGATGAATTTTATCCTGCACTCACATCTTAAGTTGTAACAATGGAATATAAGAAGTTGCTATATCAAATAAGTCAATAGTGGCATCGTATACGTTTTCAGCAGTAAATTTCCTAGTCATTTTCAATATCTTGCATTTATCTATTTACAATAAATAATTTTATTTTCATGCATTCCTGTTTCTCTCAATTATTATTTGTTCTTTTACATCACATGTAACTAGTTGGAAATATTTCTTTTCGAGCTAATTCTTATTGTAGCTGCCAAAATCATCTAGTGAATGGAGATACTCTATGACTAAAAAACATTCATTGGCAGCATTGGACCTTTTGAGCTGCATTTGAATTGTTTTAGACTATTTTCTTTTACTACTGATTGTGTACATCCTTTTCTTGGAATCTACAGTTGAACATAATTCTTCAAAAGAATACCTTCATTCATTAGGTGGCATTTAATCTTTTCTTTCTGATCCATTTTTCAGTTATGCTGTGCTTTTGATTGAAGCAAAGGACAAAGAAGGCCAAGCTCAAGTTCTCTCTGCTGCTCTCGAAGTATGATTTTGATGCTTGTTTGAATGAGTAAACATGATGTTTTCTCATGGGCTTGTGTATAGGCACTAGAAGCCCTACATGCTGCAACCATTTCTGTTAGTTTGTGCTGGTTAATTCTTTCTTGTTATGTATCCCAGATTGCGGAAGATGGAAACCAAGATGTAGATGGAAGATTTCGAGCACTTGTTGCTGTTGGCACACTTGTATCCTTTGGGAGTTAGTTGTGTTGTTTGTATCCCTTCGGACTTGGGATTTTAATATTTATCTTACTGTTAGTGTATCTGGTTGCCTCATGTTTATGTGCAGGGTACATGCTGGGGTAGTCATTTGAGGCTGGCCTTTGGGCATGAATATTAATTTCTAATTTCTTTGGTGTTGTCGACAAATACATTCTCTCTTTTTGGTGTGGGGCGGGTAGGTGATCAGGGGAGTGTCCAATGACTTGACAAATTGATCTCCATGTTTTGCTCAGAATTTTGCCTCTCTTTGAGGATTTGGTCATCTCCCCTGTATGTCTATCTACAGTGAGAATGAAACATTTAATAGCAAAAGCTTAACACTTTAACTTCGTACCGATCCACTAAAAGATGTTGTCAGACTTGAACTTGAAAAGAAGATGAGAAAGTTTCCACAGCTCCAATTCTGAACCCTTGGCTTTTGAAGTTCTTGTCATCAGAACCCTCATCCTTTTTAAACGTAGCCTCTCTATGCTCCCAATCCTTTACACTTACAATATCTTGATCTGCAATATTCCCATTTTTTTGTGTATATCAGTTTAATTTCATTATCTATCTCATTATAGACCTCATATGTTCTATCATGCATCACCCTTCATCTTTATGTTGGCATGTGTCGTTACCATCTAACTCGGTGGTTTTGCTTTTAGTAGCCATTATAATGTGTATTTCTTTTACTATTAAATGTTTCATCTAAGTAGTTTGATCATCTTTTATTGGCAGCACATTTACCCACTAGTGCCATAATATGGTCTCGCCACTTGCGACCAGAGTGACCATATTTTGGGGCATGAAAATAGCCTCTCTGCTTTCAACGGAAAGCTAGTAGATTGACCCTCCTTAGACCATGAGCCTTGTGCAGTGAATCCTTTGATCATTGGCAGAAATTAAAGCTTGCTGATGCCGTGTGTCGTCAGGAGTGGATGAATATATATATATAT